CACAAAGACTTTATTTACAGTTTTATTTTAATATAATAACCAGATCCAATGGACCTAACATAAGATGAATTTTTGTTAATTTTACCAACCAGCGTTCTCATCAATCATATATATTTTGGGGGGAAATGTAAACATTATTGCCTAAAGTACCTTATATACATCTGATAGCTGATCATAACAAAGGACTTTAACAATCTAGAAAGGTAAAGCTGATAAAAAGGTACCATATTTTGGTTTATTTTAAATTATATATTAATATTTTAAAATGTAAACTCAGTTAATAAGCGCTGGTATAATCAATATTTTACATAAGTAGTCTCACCTCTTAGAAAACAGAAAGTTGGGTCTTAGATCATTGCCATTTCCTTGGGAAGTTCTCTAATATTTTACGGGAATATTTTAATAGATCCCAGGAGTTCTGAAATACTGCTTCCCCGTGAAATATTTTCCATTTGATAAAAATAATAATTTCTCCTGGAAAATGAATTATTTCAGAAGTTTACTGAAAGCCTATTGTTAGGAAATGAAATTTTAAAATCCAGTGTCTTTAAATGACAAAAATATATGTCAGGAAATGAGTTTGAAATAAATCACAGATAATAGTGCCAATGCAGATGGATAGATATGTGTGTATCTCTTACATGTTTTTGCTTAAGAGCACGAATATATATATGCATATATGTGCATATACATATATATACACAGACACACGTAGGGTAGGTAGCATACCTACATTTTAATACACACACATACTCACTTCGCTGGGCCTAAACATGCACTAGCAAGTTATTTTAGGGCTTCAACTCTTCAGAAAATCTCATTATGTGAGGAGCGAAGTGGCTCTGCGGGGAGCATTATGGAAATATCTGGGCTTGATTTAATGAGGCTGTTCACATTGGTGGAATATCAACTTAACAGAGAAAAGTCTACCCAGGGTGTCCGAGTTACCAAAATGAAAATTGGCAATTGAGATGATAAGAACGTGGCTTTCTTCTGCGAAATCACTTCAGGTAACAGAGATAACATTAAATAACATACATTCTATGCACCAAGAACAATGTTTTATGTACCGAGTCTCTTATCCGTCTCTCCTAATGACTTCCCTTAGCGGGTTGTTAGTACTTGACAGCAGGTCTCCGTGCGGGGAACTTTTCTCCAATTCCACATTCAAAGGAGGTCCATCAGAGAGCATGATTGGCAATTTTCGTCATAATCTGCACATTATTAGCATCAAAATTGACGTGGCAGTTAACACTGGTGGGTTTTGATGTACCTTTCTTCAAGTTCAAAGAAACCCCTCCTGTAGCCAGGGTTAGCAGAGCGGGTCTCAGTAACCCAGCGGTCGCTTTGCAGAAAAGGAGCAATAGACATGCGTGGAAAATATGCCAAGAACCATTTTACCCGAGGAAAAGGAAAGCGAAGAAGGAAAGGGTCGAGGAGAATAGAGTTCAAACTTAGAAAAGTGTCTAAGGAAACGTTGCAGATAATATATACCTAGAGATTCAAGTATTTCCCAGATCGAGTGGAACCCGGTACTAGTTGGAATACTGAGCTGGCAAAGCCTCTCCGTGCACTGCAGCGATCTGTCAGTCTGGCCCTAACCTTTCCTTCTTCTCCTTTATCCTTCCCTGGCCGGCTGTGGCAACCTCATTAGCCATCATCTTTGCATAAAATATGCAAGACACTTTCATTTCGTCGGTACCCAAACCAATGACCAAAAGAGAACAGCGGTGGACCCAGGAGGGGGCGCGACCCCCGCCCCTTGCCACCTCGTCTTTGTCCTGCCCGGGAAAGGCTGCTCCAGCGCTCGGGGCCTCGCTCCCGCGCGCCCTACGCGCTCCGGTCGCCAGCACTCCCGCAGCCACCCGCTCTGCCCGCTCCCGGCTTTCTCCCACTTCCATTCTCCGGCTCTCCTCCAACTGGACCCCTCACAAGCTCAGGCGGAGAGAAAATTTGCCACCTCCTTCCACCCTCGTTAGAAAAGAAAAGAAGGCTAGAAGAGAAAGAGCAGCAGCATAAACCTCGGGAGTGACTCCTCCTCCCCCAGCACTAGTGCACCCCTTCCCTTCCCCTCGGCCGCGGTCATCCGTTGCCTCGCCACGCGGTTGAGCCCCAGACCCGGGACTGCGGGCGCACAGGGGGCAGGGTCGGAGGGAGGGGAGATTGTCTTGGGGAGACCAATAGCTTTAGACAGAGCGGAAAGTGGGGCCCGGAAGGCGGGAAACAGAGGAGGGAGAAGAGTGGAGACGGCTGGACGGAAAATACAAAAATAGAAATAATTTGGGGGGCGCCCACCAGGCTTTCCCACTGGCTCCGTCCCCCCAGTTCACCGCAGGTTCCTTTCACCCTCTCGCGCCCCGGGGCGCCCCCTGGCGGCGGAGACGGCCGCGGGCATCGCGCCGAAGGGGCAGGGGCGGCGGGGGGCGCGCAGGGCGCGCGGGGGCGACCGGGGGCGCGCGGGGGCGCACGGGGGACCCCGGCCCCGGCGGCGGCGACGTAGTTATCTGGTCAGCGGCGCCTCGTCCCTCTGGTCCGGAGGACTCACCGCGGTCTTGCTGAGGACCGCGGCCGAGTAGGGCAGGAAGCCGCTCTCGGAGCGCGGCGCGGCGCCGCTGCAGCCGAAGTCCGAGCCGCCCGCGGCCCCCGCGCCGCCGCCGCCCCCGCCGGCCCCGCCGCCCCGGGAGCCGAGGGCCGCAGCAGCCGCCGCCGCGGCGGCCGCCGCCGACTGACTGCTGTGGCAACTGAGGCACGAGCAGGGCGCCGAGCCGCCGCTGGGGGGCGCCCCGGCCGCCGCCGCGGAGGAGGCCGCCGCCGCGGCAGCCGCCGCGGCCGCCGCGGCCGAGGCCGCGCTGTTGAGCCCCGCGGCGGCCGCGGGCGCCTGGTAGAGCCCCGGGTGGCGGAAGCTGCACAGCAGCTCGGGCCGCGAGTAGGGGTGCGACAGCGCGCGGAAGGTGTCCAGCGGGCGGATGGACGTGGCGAAGGGCGACGACGCCGCGGCCGCCGCGCCCGAGGCTGCGGCCGCCGCCGCGGCGGCCGTGACGCCCACGTGCGGGTAGTAGTGCAGCGGCACGTGCGAGTGGAAGGGGTAGGGCAGGCTTCCGGTGGCGGCCGCGTGCGTCATCATGTAGGTGTAGAAGCTGGGGTCGGCCGGGTGCGGCCACGACATGGCCAGGCGCTGCCGCTTGTCCTTCATGCGCCGGTTCTGGAACCACACCTGCGGGGACAGCCCGCCGCGCCCGCGTTAGGAGGCTGCGTGCTCGGTCCCCGCCCTCCCGCGCCTTCGGGGGTCTGGCCTGGTCCTCCCAAGTCCCCTCCGCGTCCCAGCGGGGACAGTGTGGACCGCAAGGCGTGGCACGCCCTGCAGTGTCAGGACCCTTACTCTCTCCACCCCCTCCTCCGCTGGTGCAGCTCCTCTTTTGGGCTTTGATCTTTCGGTTCTGAGTGCATTTTCTTGTCCCAACTCAACCTTTCCTCTGCCTCCCGGCGCCCCGGCCCCACTGAGCACCCGCCTCTCAATCCCTGGATTTGCACGGGGATTTCCAGCAGCCTTGGAAGAAAAGTTGCGTTGCAGCTTCTCTGCGAGGTGGCCACTCGAGGTCTTGAGCCTGAAGCTGCAAGGACCTGCCCCTAGAGGCACGGGTCTGATGATGGCTTTGAAGCGATGATTTTGTTGGAATTATTTGCCTTAAATGAGTGGGAAGAGTAAGGTCCCCATAAACCAGGCAGGGGACTTTTCTGTTCTCCTTAATACCGTGACTAATAAAGATATCATTCGTCACAACTCCAAATTAAATAGAAGAGGACCCCTACACTCCTTTCCTATACCAAGAAGTTTTCTCTTTTTCTAGAGTGTCAAATGCTCCAAGAACTATTCCCCCTGTCTCCTGGCTCTGTCTCCCGGATGTATAATAAAATTTTTTGTATAATAAAATTAATAACCTAAATAGATAAGGGCAATGTCGTTGAGTTTTCTCCCAAGAGATTGCCTTTTTCTTGTTTGAGACAAAATGAAAATGTTTAGGAAACTACGTTCTCAGGCCAATCGATTTTTTTTTAAATAGAGTATCTTTTTCTCCATGTAGTAACGATTTATGTGCAAAAAATAAATATCCAATATCATGAGCAAATGAGAAGCACCTCTCCAGACTCATGTCAGGGGAACAAAGACCAGCTGACTCTGCCACGGAGGGGAGAGTGGGACCTGGGTGCGGGCGAGGGGCATCTGGGCAGGCAGTGGGCAGAACCGAGTAGAGGTGAGGGCTGGTTTGTGACCTCGGCTCCGCCACGCGGGAGACTTTCTAAGTCAGCCAGGCCCCCAACCATTCGGATTCGGCACCTGAGAAATAAATACTGTAAGCCATCGCCTTTAGTGCCTAACCTCCCGCGGATTTCCTGACCCTGTGCTCAATCTAGCCACAAGAAAAAGGAGAAAGAGGGGAAAGAAACAAGTCAATCCAGGCGCCCCGGGGGAGGCCAGACAGGCACCGCACTGCAATGCATACCTTGATGGTGGTTTCGGGCAGGTTAAGCGCCGCGGCCAGCTCGCACCGGCGGGGACGCGACACGTAGTTTTCCCGGTAGAACTCCTTCTCCAGGCGCGCGATCTGCTCACGGGTGAACGCCGTGCGGTAGCGCCGCACCTGATCCGCGCCGGAGCCAGAGCCGCCCAACGCCGCACCCCCTCCGCCGCCACCGCCGCCGCCGCCTCCATGCAGGCTACCGAGGCCTGAGCCCGACGCTGACGTCGTGGTGCCGGCCGCCGAGCCGCTCTCCGTGTAGCCTGGCAAACAAACAGGACACAGCGCGTGAGTCGCAGTCCGGGGCCAGGAGCCCCGAAGCCGGAGCTGCTCGCAGATGGGGGGAATCGCGTCAGGAAGCAAAGTAGCTGTCGGAATTGATGGGGTCTGCCATGCTTACGAATTGCTGCCCTTAATGGAATCAATAAAGTTTCATAATCAGTCCTTCATAATCAAATAATAGGAACGGAATAAGGGAGTTTTATTTAATAATTAGAAAAATTTCCACAGGGGAGGAAAATTGGCCAAAGGAAAACACCTACCCCGGGGTGCAGTTTGAGATGGTCTGGGTTGACTGACCCTCAGGGAAGCCTCAAACCTTTCTTGGACAGTCTTTTGGATTTGGTTTAAAATATTTTAACATTTGCAAGACAGCAGCAGCCGGAACCCGAGCCGTTAGGGGAGTGGTATCTACTTTTCAACTCTCTCCGGGCTGGCCTGAGTAGTGTCGCAGACGCGCCCGGGTCAGGCTCTCTGACTTACCCAGACGAAAACCCCTCCACCGGCCCTGGGTGGTCAGAGGCAGGGAGTGCAGAGTAGCTGCCCAGGGCGCCGGCCCCTAAGAGAGATTCAGCCGCTGGCTAGGGGTCTGGCTGAGCGCTGCAGCCCCTAGATCGGCACACAGACACTTTCTGGGACTCGGCAGCCCGGGCGCGCGGGCCTGGCGCCCCAGGCTCTGCAGGCCTTTGGCGCTGGAAGGAGCAGAGCCGGAGGGCACGCTCCCTGCCTGCATTTTGTCTCCCCGGAGCCAGCTCGGTGCAGCCTACTGGCGGAGGGTCAGAGAGGGGCAAAGACACCGAGAAGGACGGGCGTGGGCCGCGGAGGAGCCGAGGATGGGACTGCACGCGCGATTACCTTTGCCATTGTTTTCCTTGAGCGGCGCGGCGGCCAGGCCGCCGGGCGAGCGCAGCGCCGAGCATCCCACCTCCACGTCGCTGCTCATGTCGGCCTCGGCGGCCGCCTCTGAATAATGGCCCGGCTTCTTGCGGCTCTCAGTGGCGGAGGCGATTTCGGAGGAGACGGTGCTTTCGCTGCCTGGGTGCTGCAGGTTGAACAGAGTGTCTATTTCGAATTTGCCCTTGGCGGGGAGCTCTCCCAGAGCGCCGTGCAGGGGGGCGGACGGTAGGCGCGGGCTGAGGCGAGCCGGGTGCTGTGAATTTTCCAGGGCCTCGAGCACAGCACTGCCAGCCGAGTCGGACAAATTGGAGAACCTCTTGCCGGCCGTGGGGCTGTGGAGCCCTCTCTCCATCAGAATCATCTCTTTTCTTATTCTTTCCATCATCTCAGCTTTCTAAAAAATGTCACAGTGGCCAGGCTGTCCCGTCCTAATGATGGGCTGCGCCTAGGGCTAATTCTCATTCAGTCCCAGAAAGCGCCTCTAAATATTATTATCTCTTTTGGAGGGAGGCGGAAAAATTGTGGGATGCCAGAGCGAGGGAATGACTGGTCAAAATGACCCATACATCCTTCTGAGCCCGAGATGTCATTCATCAAAAAGTAGCGCCCGCTCGTCATTAAGGTACGAATGACGCCGTTCGAATAATCATTTATTGTAACAGGTTTATAAGCAAATAAATACACGCTCCTGTCAGTGGGTAATGAAGGCGGCTTCAGAGCAGACAAATAGATCCAGGTAGGAGACGAGAGGAGACAAGAAGTGAGGAAGAAGGCTCCGGTCCTTTGCCCGCTCCGAGCCAGTGCTGCTCGCCCGGGGGTTTGGCCTCGGGGGTGAAATTGACAGTCTGATTAATAGAGCGCTCCGCGGCACATTTCCCCCTTCATTTAGGGGCATCATTACGCTCTCAGTTTGCTGGGTTGCCCCTTAGGTCCTAATCATGCAGCGCCTTCCTCATTTTTCCACGGACACAGATACGTGTTAAATAATAGATAATGCTTTGATTTTCCAGAGTAGATCCTCTGGAAGGTTTAAAAAAAATTTACAAGCTGGGGGCGTAAGTGGGGGGGGGGGTAAGGGGGAGGATGCAGGAAGAGTTGCGTAAGGACAAGACCTTCCGCTCCTGTCTGGATTACTTATCTTTCTGTTTTCAGAACCAAATATGTATTTTATTTAACAAATAGGACGCTGAGTTCTCTCCCCTTGTACTTCATCTCAGTTTGGGTGCTCTCCTCCCACGATGGTGTGTGTGTGTGTGTGTGTGTGTGTGTGTGTGTGTGTGTGTGTGTAGAGGAGAGAGAGAGAGAGAGAGAGAGAGAGAGAGAGAGAGAGAGAGAGAGAGAGAGAATATGAGAATATATATATCTTGGAGAGTTTTGAAACCACTTTTTTGCTACGTGGCCGAGGAGGTACACAGTTTCGCGCCTCCACATGCGAATCATTAGTTCCTCTCTGATTTTCTAACACTGCTTAAGGAGTGCGTTCAAAACTCAAAGTCTTGGGATTTTGTTGCTGTTGTGGTTGGGGTTTTTTAGTTGTGTAGTTTTTTTTTTAATTTTATAATCCCGTTGATAGCCTTCTCACCTACTCATCTTCCCTAGGGAAATGAACTAGCCCGGACGCTTGGATAGCAGAATTCGGCAGCTAACTTTAACCACAGTCGCGATTTACGAGCCATGCAAGCTGCTCCGAATCCACTTTTTACGTTGACCCCTTTCCCCCCTTCCTCCTCGAATAGATTTATTTGTATCAAAGTAGCCAGATCCCGAGGTCAGAAGGGGAAAGAGGAGCCCCAGCCGGCGGCTCCCACCACCTCGCTGCCCGCCGGTCCCGCCGAGCCCTCTGGGCCTCCCTGTCCCCTCCTCCACCCCGGCCCCTTACCTGTGGCCCCGGGTGCGCCCCGCGCTCAGCCCCGCAGCGCACAGCCGCCGACCCAGCTTGCTGCAGCTCCTCGCGGCCTGAGGTTGGCGGCTGAGCCTCCTGGCGATAACTTTGATGGTCATAACGACGCTGGTGGCAACCATTTTAACGAAGATCAATCTTCAGCGAGGGCCGCTCCTCATCTCCTCCCGCGCCTGCGCCCCACCCTTCCGACCTCCGCCGCGCAGGGCCCGCCCGCCGCCAGGCGCGCAGGGGGAGAGGCTCGCGGACCCCGGGAGGACCCGAGCGCGCGGCGCCGGATGCCGGGGTCCAATCCGGCCCTTGAGCTCCCGCAGCGGCCCGGAGACCCCGGCAATCTGGGCGCAGGTCCTGCATCCCGGAGCCAGCGCCAGCGCAGACCCCCAGCCCGGGCCCCTTCCGTCCCACCCTCCGACACACCCAGCACGTCGGGGTGTTAGGGGCGAACCCAGGATCTATTTGCCCATCTGTCAATTGGCGCTTTCCTTTTAACCTTAGACCCTTGGGGGCGCGTCAGGAATGTAAGGGGAGGCGAGGTGTGAAGTACGTTTATGCACACACAGACACATATATAGCCCACGCCAAAAGTTTCTCTCCTGTTCCCCTTGGCGCCAACTTTCTTCGACAACGCGAATTTTGCTTAGAAAATCAATGCCATGTCTTTAAGGTAACAAACGCAGAGCTCAATAGGCAAAGCGTTTGGGGTAAAAGGGGCGAGGAGAGGTGGCTGGGAACCCAGAGTAAGGGGCCAGTATTCTGATGAGGACGTGTCGGGGCGTCCCCCTTGACCCTTGTCCCTGTGACCACACAGCCCAGAGAGCTCTGTGCTCTCCTCCTGCGGCTTTGGGGCCAGTAGTGCCTGGGGAGCCCAGCCCTGTGGACTCCCTCACCTGCTCCTCAGTCGCACACACACCTCCAGCCTTCTTGGGAGTCGCTCCCCCAGTTGACCCGGGGAGGGTCATCTCCCTATCCAGTCCAAGTTTGCTCTGGGGACTAACGGGGCACTTGGGTCCTAGCTGAGTGGAGGGCAGAGCCCTGCCACGGTGGGGGCGCGTGGAGGCGCTGCCTGGGCGGAATTTCGCGAACTCCTTTATTGCTGTCGTTTGGCGCCCCCATCTGTTTTCCTCGCGGTTTCGGCGGCTGTGAGCAGCTTTTCAATCGCAGAAGTCGCCGCTGGGGGTTGAGGTGCGGACCGCGACCCCTTCCTCAATGGCCCTGCCCGCGGGTTTCCTACATCCTCCCTTTCCTCTGGGACCTGGCGCCTCTCGTTCCAAAGACTGCGCCAAACTCGGCCTCGGTGTGTTGAAAAGGGGAAACATCATTTTTCGGCGTCACCTCCATTCATTAGTGGTTTTGAGAACTGTTTTACACCTTTTAAAGAACATTAATGAGCCTTTATTACAAAAAGTGCATTCGAGACCATGGCAGGGAAACTACTCACAGTAAAAGACAAATATAACTTTTCGCTAAAGCACGTTTAACAGACAATAATGTTTCAATTCCACAACCACTGGCAGTGGCAATGTGGATTGATTGAGATGAAGCCCTTACTATACAGTTACTTGTTACAGGGATCCTCACTTCTAAACTTCACTGAAACTATGAAATTATATTATCTCCATACCAGGAATGAGAAACTTTCAACACAGAAGAGTTCAGCAACTTACTTGTGATTTAAACTTACCTTCAATAATATACAAGTCACAATGTAATTCAAAGTATTGGATAGCATTTCCTGTTTTTCTCATGGTGCGTATCATATTTAAATTCAGGCCTTTTCAGAAACATTGAGCCTGAGTAGAGGACCGAGAAGCGAGAAGCCAATGCAGTGATGTGGACGCTTATGGATGAAATGCCTGACACTTGCACGTCTCCCACGAGGTAGAGGCTGAGGCTGGAAACTGGCTTAGATGTCCTGGGGTTTTGCAGCCTCTGCTGACTTTAAATCCTCCTACTCACTACCAAGGTGCAGGACCTGCTCATTAAAACAAGAATCCAACCCAGTGTAAACTCAAGTAGCTTAGCAGGGATTTTTAAGATGGAGTGTGGAGTTCAATGAGGGAAGAACTTGCTCCATATGGTCTGAAAAACACTTTTTTATCCCGGAAACATTTTTGCATCAGGCTCGCCGACTAATACTTATTTCTTGTGCAGCAACGGCTTCTGAGAGGTGAAATGGTAAACAGTTTTGGCCTGAGACTGAAGGTAATAGAAATCTGTCTCAGCTGCCCCACTGGAGGCACGCGGGTAACCGCGAATCTGCAGCAGAGGCTGTCCTCTTCCCTGCCCCCGACTGGCACGGGCCTCTGAGGCCTCCATCGCAGATCCAGATCAGCATCGAGGCACCACTGCTCCAGCACGGGGACTGCGGTGTGTGGTGCGGCAGCAGCACTGCCAGGGTCTGGGCTGCGGGTCCTGGGCAAGTCACCTCTAGACCAACTGCAGTCTCCGTAGCTGGGAGTTTCGGTTTAAGAGAGCAGCAGGGCTCGAGGAACCAGGCCTGACTTCGCACTGCTAATTTCATGCTTCCATCCCGGGCACGCAAGCTTCTAGCTCTCTGTCTCCTCTGGGTCTGTTTGGACGAGTCTTTCTCTTTCGTTCTCCCGCTCTCCCTGAGATCCCGCGCTATGTGGGGGACTGTATTTGGTGAGAAGTTGCGTGGGTACTTTCTTCTCGGACGGAGCTATTCAGGCCAGGCCGGTCGCCTGCCTGGAGCTCCTGTGCCCTCAGATGCGACACGAGAACTTGCAGGGACATCTAGCGCCAGGCTGGGGGAACTGCGTGCCGCCTGGCCGAAGCGTAACCGACCACTCGCATCCTTCCCTGCCTTTGCAGTCTTGTTTAACAGTTTGGCACTTTCCTAGCCTTCATCCTTTTGTCTTACTGCTGACGGCAGCGTGGGTCCCGTAAAGACTGTGAGCGCTGAGAAATGCAGATGGACAGATAAACACACCTTCCTTCTCCTTTGCTTCCCACGGCCAACCGAGTGAGCTTTACTAGGTTTAACAATAGTTTTACTAGAAAAGTGTGTTCCTAGGACCACCCCACACCTGGAGATGTCAGACCAAACTGCAGTCTCAGCTTTTATTAAAATCTTAAAATAACAAGTTACTGGCTTTTCCAGCTCTGGACCCACCCTCTGGTGTCCCCTTTTGAGTTTAGTTTTTCTTTTTGAAAGAAAACATTTACTGTTTAATTCCCTCCAAGACTGGAGGAGTTCTGTCTCAAGCAGGGACCTGCTGCCCTATGGGAAGCAAACCTGGCTTTATCAAGTAATGTTTTGTGTTTGGGAAGGATCTTTGTTGTTGATGCAAATGATTTTCATTTAATAAAGCCTAACTTTGTTGTTAAACTGAAAGGGAATGCCTCTCAGGCATAGAAAGGGGCCAAACAGAATAATACACTGTCTGACTATTGCTAGAGCCCTCTTTGTACACCCTAGGTAGTGTTGTGAATTTGTTTTTGCTTTTTTGTTTGTTTGCTTGATATTTTCAGCCTGGGTGGAACTCGGTATTCCCCCTGGAGATGGGAAATTGGGTCCAATGTTAGCAGGACTTGGTTAAGAAATTTGTTCAGCCAGGTCTACTGGACTTAAGAATTTGGCATTAATACTCTTTCTATGCTGAATCTTTGGCTTCTTACAAGTTAATTAGGAAGGTGTCTTGTGCTTCCTGGTTGTGGCCATCAAGGCAAATGCTTTCAAAGGAGTCCCCAGGACCCCATTCTGATAGGACCCTGTCACCCCAGTCTTAATAGCCACAGATTATGTGGTTAATTGAGCATATTGCTGTCTTGGCAAGCAGAGCAACTTCAATAAATCTGCCCTGGGCTTGCTCCCCATCACGGCAAAACCACAAAGCCTAAATTGCAGCCTGTATTCAACTATTCCTCAAACCCAGACAGGAGTACAATTTGAAAGATCATCTATAAGGAAGAAAATAGAGCTATGATTTCCAGAACAGCCTCAGTTTTAAAAAAAAAGGGGGGGTGTTCAGGAAGTGAAACGAAGAAGACCAAGTGATGGGAGAGTAAAGTGGGGTTTTAGGGAACAAAGGACATCATGAGTTTTTCACCAAAATCAGGAAATGCAGCAAAATGTATTGTGGAAGAATGTAGATTTGGAGATATCTGTCACTGTAACAAAAAAAATCATTTAACAAAATCTACTTCTTTTGTTAAAATCCCAGTATGAAACACACACATACAAATGTAAGCCTCAGTCTGTACTCCTGGATAATTAAAGAAAATGATTCCAGTTAAGTTTCTAGCTGAAATCAGTTTAGACATAGCCTGTATAAGCTAAATGAAATGTTTTTGCCAATTCAATCTCAAAATTCTTCCACTAACTACCACCCCTGTGTTGTAAACCATGTACCACATTAGTCCATAAACAGATCAGTAGGACTTTGTCTAGTACTCAACAATAGTCTTGTCTTGGGATACTGGAACATAGGGCCCAATCAGAGACACCTTCCTGGGGGTAACCTCCTCCTACAGGGCTGGAATATCAAAAGCTTTTCTGGAGGCAGTGAAACTGGCAGGATCAAATCAGGATGCAAAAAGCAAAACTCCTTATGATTCAAAATCTCCTTGATCCCAGAATATGCACTAGGATAAGGAGAGAAACTCCAAATCCTGCCATTGTCCCTCAGGACCTATAGAAGCAAGGCTACCACTGAGAAGTCTCAGCCTGAGCATTAATTCAAATTTGTCTCCTAATTCAGCACAAATTTAATTTGCTGCATGGAGAATTAAGCCAAAATCAATGGGCTTCATGAGATTAGTAAACCCTTATAAGTTTTTCCTTCTTATCTTAATTTTACTTTCTTCATTTTTAAACTTAAAAATGTATTTATCGGGGAGAAAATGGGACTAAAGTCCAAGAGCATAAAGTCACCACAATATTTAGTTTTAAGAGGCTGAAGAAACATTGTTCCCAGTTTGGTCTTAGAAATATTTTAGTAAATTTTTTGAGGTCATAGAAAAAATTAAAAGTATCTGCATGTTTTCTTTCTCACTGAGAAAAGAAAGAGAAACAAAGGAAAAAGCAATGCATCTCCATGTCTAGGTGGTCTATGGTTAGCGGTTTGGTACCGGAATTGTTGGGTAAAGAATCTAGCCAATCCTTTTCAAAAAGTCAGCAACTCTGTCACCTGGCCTTAGCTAGCTATTTAAAAATGAAGTCCAGCTTCCACAGCTAACTTTTGCCCAAATTGTTCTCATCAGAAAACTTCTTTTCCCTACAGTTCTGCAAAGCTCAGGTCCCCACTGCCTTGAATTGGATCATGAACCTGTCCAGAACTTCAAAAAGGTCAAACTAATTCTCTTGCTTTTCTTTTTCAGCACCTCTCTCATAACTTTCCCCTTTATTTGAGCCTTTTATGGTTACTGTGTTTTGCGTGTCAACACTCCCAACACCAGCAGCCCACCCTGCAAGGCCAGACCAGGCCCAGGACAACTTTGCTGGTCTGTCTTTCTTTCTTTCTTTCTTTCTTTCTTTCTTTCTTTCTTTCTTTTTTTCTTTCTTTCTTTCTTTCTTTCTTTCTTTCTTTTTTTCTTCTTATTCTTTTCTTTGCCTACTCAGTTCTTCAATCTGGGAACCAGGGGACTGAGTCAAAAACTGGCCTCACCAGTCACAGGCTTGGGGGAGCAATTTTCTTGGAGATAGACTGGCCTAAAGAGTTGATGGCACAGAATCAAATTGGCTCACCCTAAGAACTCCCATGCCCACTCCAGCACCCTTGGGTCTTGGGGTCTCCTATTGCTCCTGGGGCAGAGACCCAAATCTCCACAGGACTCACACAGCTGCTCTGATTCTTGCTGAGATCATTGGAATAGCCTAGGACTCTGAGACTGAGGAATGTAAGAAAGGATGCAGAGAGGCTGGGGCAGTAATCCCCAAAGCTCTGGCAGCAGGGCCCCAGAGCAGGGTATATCTCCACCAGCGATGCCCAGAGATGGCCTCAAAGTCAGGTTTAGGTATTCTGGGCTGCTACTACTGCAAGTGTAGGCTTTGCTTGGAAAAAGCACCTTGTTAATTTGCCGCTCTCAGTTTTGTGCAGTTGGCAATTTGGAAAAGGAAGAGAAACAAAGGTCCCTGGGAAAGTGAAGTTTTCAATTAATTGGTGTGAGTAACGGGCGGGGGTGGGTGGGTGGTGGCTGCAAAATGCTAGAGGCCGGTAGGCTGCGGACTGGGCACAGAGGCTTCCCGGCAGCTGCAGAATGACTTTCGCCTCCCGCGCCCTTCAGAGGGTCTTTCTGCCTGCGGAGGGAGGCATCCCGGCTAAAGAGGTGACTCCAGCTGGCTGAGTGTGGAGACACCGAGGCTGGATCACGGACTTTCTCGCTGGGGCAGATTGTCAGGCTTGGTGCGGCCGATGTGAGGTTGGTCTTCCCTCTGCTTGATTTGCTTGCAAGTCTCTGCCGCCGCCCAAGGGCGCTGTGTGTATATTTTCTGGGTCCGTGTGTGCATAGGGCCTACGCTCGTGAGTCTTACACGAGTGAAATGCCTTTGCCAGTTAGCAGCGTCCAAGGCAGGGAAAATCAGCTCCCCCAAATTTACAGTTCAGAGGTGGGCTAAGGAAAGATTAATCGACAGGACTTAAAAAATTTTGGGGGGTCCGTTTTCACATCATTCTGACCATCTCTGCTCTTCAGCTTCATTTTGTTTGCAGCTCGGGGACTCTAGGAGAGGTGGCAAAGACAGCCGTGGCTGAGACAAGGCGCAGGCCTCGGCGCCTCGGTCGCAGACAGGGCCTGGGATGGGCCGTCGCGCAATCAACTCGTGGGGTGGCTGCAGCGCCAACGCCTGGGTCTGGGGGAGGGAGAGGAGGGGAGTGGGCCGCCCCAGGGGCTGCCGGGGTTGGGGGCCGGGGTGGGTGGGTCCAGGCGGGCCCGTTCCTGGAGCCAGGCTCCCCGCGCCCCTGCCCCCACGTGTCCCCGCGCAGCCAATGGCACGGTCCCCGGCCGGCGCCCTCGGGGCGGGAGGCGGCCCCCCGACCGGCCCAGGCCCCCTCCCAACCTGAACTTCGTTTTTATAAACGTCCCGCGATGAGCTAACCTGTTGGAGGGCGGGCGGGCGGGCGGGCGGGAGGCGGGAGGCTCGCAGAGGGAGAGCGGGCGAGAGGAAGAGGGCGGGAGCGAGCGAGCGAGCGAGCGAGGAGCGAGCGCGAGAGAAAGGAGAGGAGGGAGGAGGCGCGGCGCGCCATGGTGGCCAGCGCGGGGCCAGGGCCGGGCCCCGGGCCGGGCCGAGCCGGGCCATGAGCCGCGCCGGGAGCTGGGACATGGACGGGCTGCGGGCGGACGGCGGCGCCGCGGGGCCGGCCCCGGCCTCCTCCTCGTCCTCCGCGGCGGCGGCGGCGGCGGCGGCGCCCGGCCAGTGCCGCGGGTTCCTCTCCGCGCCCGTGTTCGCCGGGACGCACTCGGGGCGCGCGGCGGCGGCGGCGGCGGCTGCGGCGGCGGCGGCGGCGGCGGCGGCCTCCAGTTTCGCGTACCCCGGGACCTCTGAGCGCACGGGCTCCGCCTCGTCGTCGTCATCTTCTGCCGTGGTCGCCGCGCGCCCCGAGGCTCCCCCCACCAAAGAGTGCCCGGCGCCCGCGGCGGCCGCGGCTGCAGCGCCTCCGGGTGCGCCGGCGCTGGGCTACGGCTACCACTTCGGCAACGGCTATTATAGCTGCCGCATGTCGCACGGCGTGGGCTTGCAGCAGAATGCGCTGAAGTCGTCGCCTCATGCGTCTCTGGGAGGCTTCCCCGTGGAGAAGTACATGGACGTGTCCGGCCTGGCGAGCAGCAGTGTACCGACCAACGAGGTCCCCGCGCGAGCCAAGGAGGTGTCCTTTTACCAGGGCTACACGAGCCCCTACCAGCACGTGCCCGGGTACATCGACATGGTGTCCACCTTCGGCTCTGGGGAGCCTCGGCACGAAGCCTACATCTCCATGGAGGGCTACCAGTCCTGGACGCTGGCCAACGGGTGGAATAGCCAGGTGTACTGTGCCAAGGACCAGCCGCAAGGGTCCCACTTTTGGAAATCGTCCTTTCCAGGTAGGGGCAATGCAGAAAAAGGGAGGAGGGGAGGGAAAAGGAACCAGAGAAGGAGAAAAGAAAGAAAAAAGAGCGTGGGTCTCTATTTGGGAGTGGGTGCCGGTGCTCCACCTGACCAAAGTTAACCCAGTGGATAAGCTTATCCCATTCTTGTGAAACCTGTAAAATCCTCTTGCTATATAAACAGCCTCTAAATGCTTTGCACCCTGTATGGTGCAGGTGCGTTCTTCTCCTTAAACTGAGGATCTTTGGATTGCCCTTTGCTAAGGCCTCCATGCTGAAGAGGCCTCTTTCCTAAGGGGTGTCACAGCTACGCAAGGGTGGCTACTAAGACTTCTTACAACCCACAGATTCCAAATACAGAAATACAACAATCAAAGCATAGGCAAAATATCTGACTCCGTGTGTGTGTGTGTGTGTGTGTGTGTGTGTGTGTGTGTGTGTGTTAATGTAAGCAACTGGCATTTGCAGAAACTGTCCTTATGAATGTCCCCAATATGCAGGCCATAAAATAACAGACTTGTTAAGATGCCGGTTTAAGAAACCATGATGATCCATCAAATTAGCCTTTGTTTTGAAATACAAATAGTTTTTCTCTGATAACGTGTGAGTGATATGACTGTGTAAGTAACAATAAATGTAAACAGCCTTTTTTTTTTTTAAATTCTCTTTATCCCACCAAGCTCTCACACACAGACAGGCATACACATAGACTTCTCAGCTAGGTGTTCCAAATATCCCAGTCTAATTTTTCCCATGCTGTTGTTTGTACCAGGGGATGTGGCTTTAAATCAGCCAGACATGTGTGTCTACCGACGGGGAAGGAAAAAAAGGGTGCCTTACACCAAACTGCAGCTCAAAGAACTGGAGAACGAGTATGCCATTAACAAGTTCATTAACAAGGACAAGAGGCGACGGATTTCAGCTGCCACGAACCTATCTGAGAGACAAGTGACCATTTGGTTTCAGAACCGAAGAGTGAAGGACAAGAAAATCGTCTCCAAGCTCAAAGATACCGTCTCCTGATGTGGGCCAAGTTGACCACAGTTCAGTTGCTTTCAGTTGTCTCCAAAAGACCTTTGGAAAGACTTGAATGTGTATTTAATTCCTCCCCCCACCCCACCTCCTGCCGATGATGGCAAATTTTGTGAAATGTTTTTCTCTCTTAACCCTCACCTGGCTCTAAAACCTTTTGCTGCCTAACCTGACTTTGTAGTTCTGTTTCTTACTTGTTTATTACTGGTTTTGTTCTTGTCTAGGTTTATTTTTTTAATGATGTTTTAAATGTTCTGTTTCTCCCTCCAGGCCAGTATAAAGGACTTGAAGTATTTTTTAATATCCCCCGCCAATGAATTTCAGAAGTGCCATTCTGATTTAAGAGTTCTACTTTTTAAAAATCACTTTATATGTCCGTTTTTAGAATTGATTATCTTTGTAATCCATTAGGGCAGAATAATTTGCAGTCATTCATATCCTGTGATTGGGTAATTGAATCATTAGCTTTCAGCAGTTGCCCTGAGGCAAGTGAAACAGCTCTAGGCTGGCTGTGCTCCTCGGTCTCCCAGAACATCTAAAAACAGGAGGCTGAAGGCATTGTGATAGCCCTAAAAGCAGCTACCTTATTAGATAGTGTTTGTATCAGTATTAGAATGAAGACAATCTTCCCAGTGTTGGGTCTCTCACTTGCTGTTGTAGTTATACATTTGCAACACACCTTGTGACTTGTGCTTTTATAACCTTTAATTTGAAAATAATGTCTTCATGGATGCCTTCATTTCTCAGAATCCTGATAAAGATATTTAAATAACTGCAATTGGCAGAGTAACCTATGGGTGATATAAATGCACTCTTTTCCTTGGCCTCCAATCTGAGACTAAGGTTGAGGCCTTTCTCAGTCTCTGCAAAGAGGCTGAACCATTGTGGTCCATAGGTGGAAACTTTATTAAGAACCCAATGAAGAATTTAAGTATCTTAGTGAATGTATTGGGCCTCTTAAAGAGCTTTAAAACATCTAACAAATTTGAAAAATGTAAAACTGTAAGGTCCAAGAAGAAAAATAAAAACCTCTGAAAGTGATGTTAAAGAACTACTTTTTACATGCTGCATATTTATACAGCTGAGAGATTATTTTTGTAGAGGCAATGTCTGTGAGCTGATATACATGAACAGTGCTTCAGGCATTTAAAAATCACTTTTTACTCCTAGGGAGAGCTAAATAAACAGAACTCTCTTGTATCCTGAGTCTTAATACACATGTGTTCTCTTTTTCTTTTAAGCTTATGTTGCCTCTAGAAAGTGTTCTTATTTATTATAAAGTATTGCTATCCTGAACACTATGATGTTCCCTATAGATGAAGAAAACTCTGCACCAGACCTCTGAAACCTCCGCACTCGGCTCGCTGAATCTGCTCCTCATTCCTTTCACACAAGTGATGTTTTTAAGAGGTTATCACTTGCCATGTCTAAAAACTCTTTACCACTCCAGCTCAAAAACATCTCCAATAAAATGTTATTTCTTTCAATATAATCAATTTTTATTTTAAAAGTTTTATGTACTTAAAAAATAGGTAAGTATGACTGTGCCCAAGTGTAGGCAAACTCTTCCCTTGGAAATTTTCAACCTAGAAAGGCCCGTTATAAATGTCTTTGCTTACAAAGGTCTTGAAATTAGCAAGCCATATCCATATTTGGCAATCGAAAAAGAAACATTTCAGCCTTATCTCCTCTCCTCTTGTCTGGACAGGCTGCACACAGCAATTGACAACTGGAAACACAAACACACATCCTAACTGTTAGGCACAATTTTTAGACACTAAGAGCTTTTTCTTTGAGGCCTTTTTTGCCACTCAGAAATGGCCACTAAGGAAGCTGGGTACTCACTCCGGGTAGGAACTCCTGGTAACTCTAATGGCTGCTAACTTTTTAGTATGTGGGTTAGTTCCAAAACACAGATTTTTTTTTTTTTTAAATCTCCCACAGTATGTGAGCTCTGGCAGGAGGATTCCTTTAGGGTTCTTCGAGAAATCACAAGGATCTACAGTCCTGGGAAGTACTTTCGTTTTCTCCGGCCCAGCTTGATTTCTTTCATATATTACTGCTAATTGCACAGAGCCAGATTCCTTTAGAGAAAGACAGGGTCCGACAGAGACACGAAGAGATAGAACAGCGATCAAATCTTCGCAGAAGAAAAACCCCTGAACATGGGACCACACCGTCCTCGACGTCACTTTGGGAAGGATCGCTAAGATTTTAAGTATTTTTCTCACAGGTTGTGTTTTCATCAGAAATGAGCCGAATTTTCTTTCTTCCAGTCGCCGTCCGCCCCTTCCCCTCATTTCTTTTTGCTAAGTTCCAGGCTCCTGCACCGCACTCCATTTCCCGGATCCTTTTCTCAGATTTCCCATCATGGGTTAGAGGGGTCTGCGCCGAAGTTTTCCTTTCATCTGTACTTTGCACGTCAATTTCCCTCCGCCTAAGAGAAATGAGAGGTTAGCCAAAGATTAAAACTGAGCTCAAATGCTCTCTGGTGGAATCTGAATTGACGGCTAAATCAATAACAGATGAAGGCTCTGTTATTTATATGTGATCTTTTCATATTCCGAATTGCGGAAGGCCGGAGAGGAGTGGGGAAAGTGACCTGGGCGCTGGAGGGAGGCCCCCTGGAAGTTGGGTAGGCAAAGAAGGGGGCGGGGGGGGGGGGCTTTCTTTTAGTTAGAGACCGAGAAACCGCTGGGAAAGCTGCACGGACATCCGGCAGGTTTTCAGCGCTGCGGGTGGGGGACTGAGGCCCGCGCTCTGTGCGTGATTCAAGAGGCAGCGAACGCGCTGCAGCCGGGACGCCAGTCCAGACAAAGAGGCTGCGCGACAGTCCCAGCAACCCGCTGGGTCCCTGGGCTCGGCTGCCCGGGCAGCCTTGCGGCCCATCTCCGGCTTCCAGAGGCAGTCGCCGCGCCTGGCAGCGGGCCGTGACCGCGCAGCCTGCGACCCCAGGCCGCCGCACCGCCCTTCGCTGTTGATCTTGACCGTGCGGCGGCGCCTCGCCAGGCGTGGAGCGCGCTCGCCATCTCCTGGGCGGTCGGCGGCATTGGCACAGCTCGCCTCCAGCTCCTCCGCCAAACGCGGCTTTGCCATTCTCTCACCCGCCGAGACTCGTTCCCGCCCCCCACCTCCCTACTGTCCCCAGGCTCCCTGCTTAAGACTGCGCCTGCCAGACTTCGAAAGTCATAAACCTAGGGGCTGAGGTGGGGCGACTAGGTAAGGAGCAGTGGAGGAAATCTGACTGTTCTAGTCTTTTTCGGCTTCGCACTTGGTTCATTTTTTGAGTTTAGTCCTGATGGGCAAACAGCTGCTGTGAAGGCTGCCCGATTAGCTCCAGGGGACATCTGGAGGCTTAGGAATATCACGGAAACGCCGTGCGTGGAGACGCCAGGCGCAGGCACTGCAGGGACCCCAAACTGGAGATTTCAGGCCTGAAAAGGCCGCGGCTCCTGGAAAATAGGGCGAGTTTCCCAAAATGAGAGATATCTGGGGCCAAGGTCCAAGTTTCCCTAAGTCTCTAGGAACTAGGGTTATAGCTTTTGCCTACCCTGTCTCCCTTGGAAGGTCGGGCGGAAAAGAGACTCTAACCTGAGCTCCTAAGGAAAAAACACTGTCCTGAGAAGCCCAAGACTTCCCAACCCCCACCCCCACCGCCCCACCCCCATCCCCATCCCTCCCAAGTCCTATCCCACCTCAGCCCCCTCCCCCTCCCTAAAGTCAGAGGAAGCGGCCGATTGCGTTCCGCAGAGCCGCCCAATTGGTCGCCATAACTCACACAATAAAGTCTCAGCGCGGTGGTCAGCCTTGCCCTCCGGCGGCGCCTGTGTGGTCTCCGTGCTGGAGCTGGCAGTCTAACCAATTCCAGCTTGGCTCAGGGATCAGGGGGGCCGCTGCAGGCTGGGACAGATGCCTCTCTCTGAACTGACCCTCACTGGGTCCCTGGGTTCGCAAAACTGGAGACAGAAGACCCCTAGATTTCCTAGCAGACTAGACAGGAGGGCCTGTCACAGGGGCTAAGAATTCTGCTCTTTAGGAGGAATGGCTGCCCTTCCTGCTTCCCTGTTTGCCAGATCTGTGAACCCGCCAGCTGCCTGCGCCCTGGAACCTTAGAGGCATGAAAGGCTGCTGGCTGGCTGGTTGCCTCAGTGCACCAACCTCCCCCTCCCCCATCCCCACTCTGCCAGGTGACTGGCTCTTCTGTCTTTCCACCTTCTGTCCAGGGAATTTGTCTTTATCTGCCTTGGAGTTCTGATTTGCAGAGTGTAGTCGCTAAAGTGACTTCAGGTGATAAAAAGAATGTAGCCTATGACCACCACTGTGTCTACTCAAGCTGGTGGATTCCTTGACAGCATTGTCCTTGGTCCTGGATTTCTCTAGGAGCAGAGTTCCTGACATGGGGGACACACACCAGGAGTGGTGTGATGCATCCTTCCTGAGCGCCAAACTTTGACAGAGTTTATGATGCCTTCCTTTGAGTTTGGTAAATTTCTTAGATGTGTCTACCGCCTGGGACCCAGGGCTCCGGCAGTGAGTGGGACTTTGCTGCCTGATTCTCCTGCGTCCCCGCAGCGGCCTCCTGCGAGGTCCTTTGTATGAAAGGGATTAAGAGAGGAGTGGCATTGCCAGGCCGCGCCCTCTCCAGACAAGCCCACAGCCGCTGGTTACTGCAAAATGCCTCAGCGGTACTTTAAAGTCAGTAGAAGCAAGCCCGGCCCAGGTAGCCAGCGGAAAACGGAATGGCAAAGCCAATCAAGAACAGAAGAGTCCCAAGGGACATTTGGGCAAAGGCACCTTCAGCCCTCTGCCGCCAGATCCTGAAGCCAGCCCGAAAACTTACAGTGGCTTCGCTTTGCTCAACCTGTTTTGGCTCTGCGGCAGCCTCCTCCTTCGACATCCAACCTTACGGGTGTTATCATAATACCCCGAAGGGGGGGAAACGGGTCGGGGGATGTAGGCGGTGCCGAAATGACCGACTTTGAAGAACCTGCAGGCAAAGTTTCGTCCAATCGTCTGAGCCGGTCCTCTTATTCCCGGTTGTAACTAAATACTGTTGCGAGCGCAGCCGAAGCCCTTTGTTGGAGATGTGTGAGCGCAGTCTCTACAGAGCGGGCTATGTGGGCTCGCTTCTGAATCTGCAGTCTCCCGACTCTTTCTACTTTTCCAACCTGCGGCCGAATGGCGGCCAGCTGGCCGCGCTTCCCCCCATCTCCTACCCTCGCGGGGCGCTGCCCTGGGCCTCCACTCCCGCCTCCTGCACCCCCGCGCAGCCCGCCAGCGCCTCTGCCTTTGGCAGCTTCTCGCAGCCCTACCTGGCCGGCTCCGGGCCTCTCGGTCTGCAGCCCCCAGGCGCCAAGGACAGCGGCCCCGAAGAACAAGTCAAGTTCTATCCGCCCGAAGCGGCCACCGGGCCCGAGGAGCGTGGCCGTACGCGGCCGCCCTTCGTCCCCGAGGCTAGCCTGGCTCCTGCAGCTGCGGCGCTCAAAGCCACCAAGTTCGACTACGCGGGCGTGGGTCGTGCAGCGCCAGGCTCATCGACTCTGCTCCAGGGGGCCCCCTGCGCCGCAGGCTTCAAAGATGACACCAAGGGCCGGCTCAACTTGAACGTGACAGTGCAGGCGGCGGGCGGCGCTTCTTGCCTGCGACCTTCGCCGCCCGACGGTAAACCGGGGCCACGCTCTCCGGGCCGGTTTGGGCCGGGATGGGAGGTGGAGTGACGGGGAGCGTTCTAGGGGCAAGGGGAACCACCGGGCCGGGCAGTGACGGGGAGCCAGCCCGGCTGACACAGGTTGGGGGCTGTGTTGCAGGCCTGCCATGGGGGGCGGCCCCGGGGAGGGCCCGCAAGAAGCGGAAACCCTATACGAAGCAGCAGATTGCGGAGCTGGAGAACGAATTCCTTCTCAACGAATTCATCAACCGGCAGAAGCGCAAAGAATTGTCCAACAGGCTGAATCTCAGCGACCAGCAAGTCAAAATCTGGTTCCAAAACCGGCGGATGAAGAAGAAGCGCGTGGTGCTGCGTGAGCAGGCGCTGGCGCTCTATTAGCCAGCGTAGCCGCGGCCAGCCAGGCCTGCCCTCTTGGACGGAGGCCTGGAGTGGACAGCAGGTGCTGGGATTGGGTCTTTTCCCTCGACTTTCTTTGCTGGTTCCGGGTACCCTCCCGTTCAGTGGCCCAGTGGCCCAGAAGCCAGTAGGAGTTAGGGAGATGTGGCCAGTTTGGCCTCAATTTCCATTCTCTCTAAGAAACTCTAGAGGGATGTTGGGAGTTGCAGTGCAACCTTGGCTGGAGTCACCTGTCCTGGCTCATGTCTGTGGCATTTACAGTTGGGGCTCACTCGCAAACCCTTGCACTTGGACTTACCTGTTTCCAACTGTTCAGTTCTCCTTTCCTCCTCTCTCTTCCCCTCTCTCCCTTAGCAAGCACCTATCAAAAGCTCACCACTGTCGTGAATATAAGAAGGGCCTCAAAACCCAGCCCCAATGACAAGTGCTGTGGATACACTTCTGTTTCATTGCAACTGAAGCCCTTTGTGGCACTGCTAGGATCTCCACTCTAGAGGAAATAAGGAGGCAGATTCCCTCCCATCTGCCCTGGCCCCTGAAGTGGACAAAAGCTGCCCTAGATCTTCACACTTAGGGAAAGGGGAGGGAACGGGCAGTGCGGCCAGAGAGACTCAGAGACACCTGGGAATGTGGGTTGGGCAGGCTCCTTCAGCTGGGTGGAAGGGGCTGGACACTTCCCTGAGAGATAAGCAAGAGAGGGTGAGATAAGCAAAATCTCTTTGCTAAGAGATTCTTGAGCAAACAGCAATCACCAGACAAGACTGGCAAAACTCTACTCCCACTCCTTTGTACATGCCTAGGCCAGGCCTGTGTAATCCTGTAACTGGACTTTCCACACTGAGCTTGTGAAAGGAGTTACTGGTCTGCTTTGAGGCCCAGCAGCACAAAGAGGAGGGAAAATTACTAGGGGAAGGAGAAGGGAGTAAGCAAGAGGAAGAGGGGTCTTACAATCAGGCTGAAAATATGGGTTCCCTTCTCTCAAGGTAGGTAAAGTGGTCCACTTGTCTTTTAACTCTGGAATTACCTGAATACATCACCAGAGAGAGGTTAAAAAAAAAAAAAAAACTCCAAGAGAACCATGAGCTGGGCAAGGAAATCTCTCAGCCCCTAGTTGCTGCTCTTGAAGGAAGCCAGAAGGATCAAGGATCAGAAATTCCTCTCTCACCGTCTCTACCACCCATCAACTCCAACGAAGGCTTAGCTGCTGTCTCCTTTCAGAGGCCAATTCTGCCTGTGCCAGGGCCTCAGCCATGCTACCTTTGCCTTGTGGAAGGTGGGGTTCCTGGATCCCAGATGGTGTTGTTCTGGGTGTACTGTGCCGCTCAACCCTCTATCAGGGAATCCATGCCCCCCCCCCCAGCTCCCATGGTCCTGGCCTCTTCCAATCCTCCTGAAATATAATGGCCCCCTATCCTCTCCTCTGAGTCCTAGTAGGATGCACAATAGCCAGGAGGTTCATGATTCCTTCCCAGCATCCAGTGATTTTTTTTCAGTAGAGGACCAGGCCCTGGATGGGGGAAGAAGGCCTCACAGAGCACCTTGAACCTCAGCCCAAATGACCTTACATTAGACTAATTTTATTTTCTGTGCTATAGTTGTCATTAATATTTTGACTTTGTCAAGAATAATTCCTCATATTCATTAAATGCATAGAAATGTTTTAAGTGGAAATAAATATCCAGGTCCCAACCATGCTGTCAAGGGGCTGATGGATTTTTAAAAACACTTCAGATTCCCTTCTAGTGTTTTCAGGCCATCCTCTCCACCAAATTTTTTCCTGGTGGCAGGTTTACCTCGGGTGGTGACTGTTCGACTGTTCGTTGAGAAAATGGCTTCCGAGGCAGTCAGGAAATGGTGTATAAAAGCCTGCGAACAAAATTTCTGTAAATATCCAAAGGTAGTAGAGGGAGACAGGGCAGATTTGAGAGCACCTCACACACTAGTGGGGCACTCAGCTCGTTGCAGCTTGAGGCTTCTGCATTTTACCTAAATTCTCATACTTCGATGCATGCTATTGTGAGGGGATGCCAAGATTTGTGGTTCCTCAGATTTCAGAACAAAGCCAAGTTTTGGTCAGGTTTCTCTGAAGCCCAATGAAGACCCCTGAGGCACCTCCACCAGAAACCATGAGGTCCCCTTGGGGAATGTGGCCTTCAGATCCTCTAAGCCATTGTAGCCTCTAGCTCAATCCGGTAAATTTAGAGGCTTGTTTTTAGTGCTAATTCCTCTGCCAACCCTTCCAGCACTTAACTGGTGGAGGTGGAAACTAGCTTTTAGCTAGAAGGGAAAACAACAAAACTGATAAATCTCTAACACTGAGTATTCAACATTCTAACACCTTTCCCTCAATTCAATTTGATTTATACATTTAAAATATTTAATCTTTTAAAAATTATACACACACACAACTCTCCATGCACACACATACACACACACACACACACACACACACACACACACACACACACAATGGGAAGGAAAGAAACAAGAGGACACCTAGGCCTTATACCTAGAAATGTTTCCCCACCTGGTTGGGCACAGGGAAGCAGTGGCACCCAGAGTCCAGTCTGAGTCTGTATTCAGAGGTTTGCCTCCTGAACAAAGACAGAAGCCACACTGAGACCTCAGTTCAGAGAGTTGGGGAAAGGAAGAAGAAACAGGCTTTCTCAGATGCAGGCCCTAATCAACACATGTAGAATATATATATATATATATATATATATATATATATATATATATGATTAAATCATCATGCTTTGTCCCTTTAGTCTAGGATGAGAAGGTATTTATGGAGACCACTCCCCAAAGGGAATTAAATTATTCTAAATGTTATCAGTCGGTTCAGCAGTGTTTTTCAAATATGTTGCCTTTGCTGATCCACACAAATACAAAGATGACGGACAGCAGAGATTTGAAACCTTGAGGAAACTGATAAGAAATAAACGTCAGAGAGAAATGATGCTGAATTCTGAGGGCTTAACGTTACCTCTCAGAAAGATAATCGTGTCCTTGAAATGGTGCAGTCCACTTGGGCCTCTCGGCTAAAGTAAGAGGTTTTTAAACCGAAAACGAATGGTTAAGTCTGACATTCGGTCGGTTGCTAGCTTAGAGGGCTGTAGGGGGAAGCTCTGGAGGCCTGGGGGTTCTCCCCAAGGGAGGCCGGCTGGGGACACTTCCCGGATGCCGAGGGGTGGAGGAGAAACCCAGAATCGTTGTAAATATTCATGTCTGCCGTGGGGGGAGGGAGATGCCTGTGTGCCCCATCAGGCCTCTCCCAGCTGCATCCACCCTTCGGTGGTTGGGGGGGGGGGAGGGAAGGCGCCTATCCGACTGTCCTTGGACAAAGGTGATCTCCCCACATTTTTGTTCTCCAGTCACTTGACTTAAGGAGTCCTTTTGGAAGGATCTGCAGGGAAGGGACTCGCTCTGGGTGTTTTCCCCCCTGCTTTTCTCTTCTTTCGTTTCCTAAAAGAGCATAAATAATTAAAGTTTGGCAGGGAGGAAAAGCTTTCTTGCAGAACTGTAGTGGCAATAAATGAAATGACTCAGAATCCCTTCCCCAGCCAGCTTTTACGAGAGCTGCCAGACAGTGTCTGTTCACGTTCTCCAGATACCAGGGGCGCCCTGACAAAGTTAAGGTCAAGTTAGTGTCTTATCTTGGGTGGCTCAAAATCACCGCATCGCTTCTCGGCGCTGCCCGGAAAGCTATCGCTGGAGGAGCTGCTCGCTGCGCCCCGAAGGCCTGGTGTGCTCTCTGCGTTTCGGGTGGGGCCGCACAGGCAAGGACAAGGCCACAGCGCCGGGGTCTTGACGGTAGGTTCTGCAGCGGAATGCGCGCGGGTCCGGAAACGGTGGTTTTCTTTGGTTTTTCGGGGTAAGGACCAAGCAGAGAGCTGGGGTTAAAGAGCGATGAGGTCTGAGCCCGGAACAAGCGCCCTGGTCTGGAAAGGGGGTGGCGGCGAGTGTCCACGCTAAGGCTCTGGAGGGGCCCCTCTCCTCTGTGCACCGCGCGCTGCTGCGGATGACGCACCCTCCCCTCAAAGCGCGGCTCCCGCCGTCGCCGCCGTCGCCATGTCGTTGAACTTGAATGGTTCGTCCTCTCCATTTCCCTTTTCCGCGGTCAGCAGGCTTCACTTTGGGGGCGGTGGCTGCCTGAGATCCACTCCATGAGGCGAGCGTAGACAAGGTGCGAGAATTTTTTGCACACCCCCCACGCACACAGCAAGACTCGAGTGGGGGCCCAGCGGCTGCCCTGGGTCCTGAGCGACCGCGGGGCCAGAATGCAGTGTCCAGGGAGCCATTTTAGGAGAGAGATCCAGGGGCGTCGACTGGGCGTCCGAAAGGAGAGGCTTGGGGCTAGGATGGAGATGGGGAGGCAGATAAGTGTGTTGGGGGTTTGGGCTGAGAAGGGTGGCAGATGGAAGGTGGGCGGGGGTACCAGCTGCTGGGAGGGGGTACTCGGGTGGACACTTAGGGTGGGAGAAGGCTTGGTACCCTCCAGTCGCCACGGACCTGTTTGCGCAGTGTTGGGGGAGGGAAGCAGCTGTGGGAGGGGGCGGAGAAAAGACAGAGGAAGGAAAAAAGGAGGGAGGAGAAAAAGGGAAGGGGGGGCACATCAACCAGAAAATAGATATTGCTCAGACCACCAGCCTTTTCTCTCTCTGTCGGCATGGTGGGCAGGGAGCACAGCACCGACACTGCAGCAGCCAGGTCCTGCCGCGGAGGGGACCACAGTGCAGCAGACACCGCCTGCCCTGGCACAGAACCGCGGCCCTGCCTTCAGGGCTGGGTTGCCTGGGCAGGGGACTCCTGGGCGCCGGCTCTTGCCCTTGGTTCTGGAAGTTGGGTTTGAGGAGAAAATCGATAGCTGTCCCTGAGATGGGAGCCCAGGCCTAGCCTGGACCTCTGGACTAGGAGAGGGTTGCAGCAGAGGGAGAGCAAGGCCTTGGGAAGAGTGGATGGGGGCCTAAAGACGTCTCAGAGCCAGGTGGTGCAGAGGGCTCCAGTGGGGAGCCAGGCACCAATGGGAGCCCTCGGAGAGCCGACCGACCTCCGAGGGACCTGCAGTGATCACGCAGACCCAAGGGCGCCGCAGGAGCCTGGTGGTGCTGCCGCGTGAATGCGCAGGCCTTGGCCGTGCTCCGCTGCAGTGAAGGAACGGGTGTAAGGCAAACTGGTCCCAGGCCAAGCCTGAACGCAGAGGGAGTGAGGTGGACAGAGGTACTGGGGATGTGTCCCTCATGGGAGGTAAGCAGAAGGCCGTGTGTGGTAGGAGTCCAGATCCTTTTGTTCAAAGGAACCCCATCTTTTAGGGAGGCACGGACCTTGGAGCATCTCTACCGGCAGAGCTCTCTTCTCCCTGTAGTCCTGAGAGTAGACAGAGAAGCTATAGGGAGAAAGACAGATAGTGATACACAGCTTAGTGGAAAGAGAGATGAGAGGACACACTGAGAGAGGTGGGGAAGGAGAGGAAGAAAGAAGGGAAAAGGAAAGAAGAGTGGAGAGGATGGGGGAAGAAAAGAAAGTCAGAGGGAAAGCCTGAAGAGTGATGAAAAAGGAGGAAGGGAGAGGGGAATTGAGAGGGACCCTGGAGAGGAAGCAGAGTGTGTACCGGAGGCCGTGGCCTGGGCAAGCGCCTGGGAGGGGTTTGGCGTGGGGTTTCGAGACCAGCACTCAGTACCCTGGGGTCAGATCCGGAGAGAGCCAAGTTACTCGGAGGTGAAGAGCACTGGGCAGAGAAATATGTAAATCAGGGCTCCCAGCGCCTTGGAGAGTGGCGCAATTGCGCCCCTTGAACAAGAAGCAACAAGCTCCCGGCGGGTGAGCTGCTGAGGGTGTCGGCATCGCGGGGGAGGGATCGGCCGCAGGAAAGGGGGGTGGGAGTGGGAACCTCACACCCTCACACCTAGTCCCCAGTGCGGGGGGCTGGGGGCTCCCCCTCCACTCGCCATTTCTCTCCCTTCCCCCTTCCTCCTCCTTCTTCCCCCTCCCTCCTCCTCCCAGCCGGCCTAAGTCTGCGTACTTAAAGCGGCGCGGGAGGGCGAACGCGGGCGGGCGGCCCAGTCGGGCGGTGGCAGATGCGCCCAGCAGTGGCAGCCACTGGCGGAGCGCAGGTGACCGGCCTGCGGCTCAGCCTAGCCAGGAGGCGCCCAGGGAGAGCAGGCGGGAGAGGGAGGCAGATCCACCCCCAGCGTGCGCTCCTCTCGGCGCCAGGAGCCGTCCCGGGGCGTGTTGGCGAGAGCTGATATAGATATAAGGACATTTCTCTCCATGGCGTCACGTGACATAATTACCACCAGAATCAATCAAGATGAATTGCACGTCAGCGCCCGGTGGGGATTTTTGCTTAGTTGATCCTGGCCCAAGCCTCTTGTGCAATCGATGGCTCAGGTTGGCGGCGCGGGGAGCGGCCCAGGGCTTGCCGGCGTGCGCGCCGCGGAGCCATGAACGACTTTGACGAGTGCGGCCCGAGCGCAGCCAGCATGTACCTGCCCGGCTGCGCCTACTACGTGGCCCCGTCGGACTTCGCCGGCAAGCCGTCGTTCCTTTCGCAGCCGTCGTCCTGCCAGATGACTTTCCCCTACTCCTCCAACCTGGCGCCGCACGTCCAGCCCGTGCGCGAGGTGGCCTTCCGCGACTACAGCCTGGAGCGCGCCAAGTGGCCGTACCGCGGCGGCGGCGGCGGCGGCGGCGGCGGCGGCGGCGGCGGCGGCGGCGGGGGCGGCGCGGGGGGCGGCGGCGGCGCGGGGGGCTACGCTCCCTACTACGCGGCGGCGGCGGCGGCGGCGGCGGCCGAGGAGGCGGCCATGCAGCGCGAGCTGCTGCCGCCCGCGGGCCGCCGGCCGGACGTGCTCTTCAAGGCGCCCGAGCCCGTGTGCGCCGCGCCCGGGCCGCCGCACGGCCCGCCAGGCGCCGCCTCCAACTTCTACAGCGCGGTGGGCCGCAACGGCATCCTGCCGCAGGGCTTCGACCAGTTCTACGAGGCGGCGCCCGGGCCCCCGTTCGCCGGGCCGCAGGCCGCGCCGCCGCCCGCGCCGCACAGGCCCGAGGGCGCCGCTGACAAGGGCGACCCCAAGGCCGGGGCCGGCGGCGGCGGCGGGGGCAGCCCCTGCGCCAAGGGGAGCGCGGGTTCGGAGCCCAAAGGGGCGGCAGCAGGCGGCGGCGGCGGCGACGGCGAGGGCCCCCCGGGGGAGGCGGGGGCCGAGAAGAGCGGCGGCGCAGGTAGGCGCGGGGCGCGGGGCGCGGGGCGCGCGGGGGGCGGGGGCCTCCCTCGGCTGCGCCGTTTTATGTGCTACTTTATAAGCATCCGAAGGGGTTTATACATCCTATAAGATTTCCCGGGTCGTTGTAAAGCGTGTTTATGATAGGAAACCAATTTAGGTGGGCTTAAGGTAGACCTCGAGGAGGACATTAATCGCTGCAGAGCGCTTTCCCCTCTGTTTTGGGGAGGGGTGCTGAAGACCACGGAGGGTGGGAGGGAGGGACGGAGAGTTCCAGCCGGTTGGTGACTGTGGACAGGCAAGCCCCAGGCTTCTTAGAGAGGGGGCGGGTGATCCTCGCACTGGACTTTATCCAAGCCGCTGGCTGACGCGCGCCCCTGGAGTAGAGCAGATGCCCCGGCGGCGGCGGGCAGCAGGCATGCTCCTCTCTCCCACTGGCTTCCACTTTAGAGCCTGGCTCGCCCTTCTCAACGTCCTTGCCTGTGTGTGTGTGTGTGTGTGTGTGTGTGTGTGTGTGTGTGTGTGTGTCACTGGGCGTGAGCACACGTCCACGCCCGCACTCTCCTGTGCCCGCCCATATATCATCCCCCACGAGGCAGGCAGGGCCTTTCAGAGGAGGCAGGGGACGTCCTTAACGGGGCCAGGCCTGGCCCTTGCTCAGTGGCCCCGGCGGGTGGGTGGGGGGTAGCAGGCAGCGGCCTCACTCACTCCTGGTCTCTTTGGCTTGCAGTGGCCCCCCAGAGGTCCCGGAAAAAGCGCTGTCCCTACACCAAGTATCAGATCCGAGAACTGGAACGGGAGTTTTTCTTTAATGTATACATAAACAAAGAGAAGAGACTCCAACTCTCTCGGATGCTCAACCTCACTGACCGGCAAGTCAAAATCTGGTTCCAGAATAGAAGGATGAAAGAAAAGAAACTGAACAGAGACCGTCTGCAGTATTTCACTGGAAACCCCTTATTTTGAGAGCTCCAGGAAGCGCCCCCTCCCCGAGCCCTAGTCACTCACCCACCTCCCCACCAGCCTGCCCTCTGCAGGCCCAATGTCTTTGGGTTTAATGACGCCTCTTCTCTGTGGAACTTCACGACTCCTTCCCACGGTCAACTCGGGACCTCCCAGCAACCACTGCAGCCTGCGGACGAGGCCGGGGACTTGGCCGAACGGATCCTAATAAGGGGAAAATGGTAAATGCAAACGTCCCTTTACAGTTTTACCGCCCATGTGCTGTTGTTCCCCCTCCCCCTCTCCGAATCCTAGGTGGGGACCCGGCGGCGGGATCCGTAGGGAGTTAGGCCACGGGCTAGAAGGCGTTGCTGTTTTGTTCTGAGCCTAAGAGATACTTTTCTTCCCTCTCGGTGAATGCAGATTATTTAAACTCTGGGAAATGTACCTTTGGTCTGTCATATCAAGGCACGAGTCACTGTCTTTTTTTAGTGTGAATAAATGGTTTCTAGTAAAATGGAGGTTACAGCTTCAATACACTGTATGAACTCTGCTCTGTGAAGATGCTAGTGCCTGGTTAGGGTATCTTAGTGGCCAGAACTCTCTCTCTCTCTCTCTCTCTCTCTCTCTCTCTCTCTCTCTCTCAACTGAAAATCCAGCACATACTTTTTAATTGTGCTAAAGTAAGGAGTTGTTCCCTCAAATCCACTCAAGGCTACACTGTTTTTTTTTTTTTTAAATCACGTCAGTGATAAATTTCTGAATTGATGATGTGAGCCAGCCATGCTGACGCTGTCCTCTCCAGGCAATGAGGCTGGGCAGTTGGAAGCTAAGAAGCAAGTCCCAGCCTCCTCTCTCAACCTAAGGAATTGGATTTCTGAAAAGACAAAACAGTTTTTTAAAAACTGACTAGAAAACCCAAAGTCTATCCTAACAGAGTGATAAGGCACCAGGTTTCCTTTAAAGAAGCCCAAATTAGAACCCTCCATTGGGGATGGGGGGAGCTTGCTAGAAGGCAGTTAGTAGGCAGAGAGGGCTTGCTGGGTTTGGAGCAGGTCTGGCAGGGAATGTTAAGGCCCTTCCCTGGATGAGGGCCAGGGCTGCAGACCTGTCTCTCACCACATTTATCGCTTTAAGGTAAAGAATGTGGTGAGGGCACTGCACTTTATGTTGCAGGGCCAGGCCAGGCTGTTTACAAAACCTTGAACTGTCTAGACAACACCATAAAAGCCAAAGTTCTAAATAGCTTAATTGGGTTATATTATACACCTTCTGGTGGGCCCAAAAGAGATTTCCGCAATGTGCAATAAACTAGAGAAGTGAGAAAAGTTTCTTTCTCTGAAGAGAGTGAAATGAATCTTATGATTCTTAGCATCTTATAAACCCAAAGTCAAAATATAAATCTGTGAGGTGCATAGCAGTTTATGCATCTTTTGAGGAAGTGTATATTTTGAAATGCTAGATTTTTTAAATTGCTAAGGCTTTGGAGGAAAGGAAAAACATAAGTGCATAAGTGTATGCCTTTGAACTTCCAAAATGTCAAGGTCATCACCTTTAACCTCTCTGAATAATTAGGCGCTTTAAGGTTCTTCTGTGATTTTCCACCGCCACCCACTCTCATGCGTACATACTCACACATCCATACTATGCACACATTTATGACCACACAGAATCATATTGAGAGCTTGCCATAAATCTAAGAAAATTCCTAATTTCAGGATCAATAACCTTAATTTCCCTTCAAACATTTGAGTAACTCAGTAGCAATAGGCTTGTTTTCAGAAACATTGCTCAGATTCAAATACTTATTAATTTTCACTACAGCTAAATTGTTGTGGTAGAGATGTTTTGGACATCTTGGAATGTGGTCTCTTTTGCTCAAATGAAGAACTGCGGTTTTAAAAGCAGATGTTTAGCGGGGGGAGTAAGTTCTGTTCAGGATTATCCCTTTGTCATATTTGAAAATCATTTGCGACAACACTAAATAAATTTTGACACTTTCCAAGATATGGAATAAAAGAAAATATATATATTTTTAAAAAGCATCCTTCAACCTTTGGTGAAAGATGCAATAGAAACAAAACGGACAATCAAATAATTTCGTTAAGAAGGGGATTCCTTTGTTTGAAATTCTGGGCATCAGGGTAACATGTCAGTGCCCTAGTATAGTATGTTCTTTCTTGGAGCTGAAAACTGGTCTATTTCATTCTCCATCTTTTTTTTTCAACTGCGTGTAAATGTAGCAGGCTTGTCTGCCAGCCGCCAGAGGCAAGACAAACCCGAGATTCCGTTTCTCATTTGCAGGAGCTTAGATAGCCACACGAGGGCGCGCTCATGTTCCAGAAGCCGCGTTTGGCTGAGCGGCTGCGGTACCTTATCTTTGCAATACAGTAATTCTAATAGGCGATCTTGGCCCGTTAGAAACAGGCGCAGCTAAGGTATTTGCTGTTTGCTCTAATGAGGAGCCAGGAGGTGTAGGACGTTGTTTAGAGACAGAGAAGTGAGGGGCAACCAGATTACTGAGACAAAAGATTACCTAATCGTTGTCACATTAAGGATAAAGCTGTTGTAAACAGTACCTTGGTATATAAACTAATGGTGGACAAGAAGAGATTTTTAAAGGTCAAACCTATATGTCTAGAAATGTGTTAGAACCATTGTGGGTTAATTGAATTAGGAAAAAATCTTGTTCTTGTTGGTTTGTGTATGGAAAGTGATCTCCTGTGAAGGACCCTCCTCCCCACCTTCCAAAAATCGCGTGCGTTTTGTGAGCTCTCAGTCCTCTGGAATGATTAAAAGGCTTTGTCTGAAACAGATTAGGGTGTTGGCAGTTTAGCTGACTTGGGTATTTAGAAAAAAACGAGATGCATCTACCAGCGGCTGGTTCTGAGCTAGGGGCCCAGGGGCGCCTGGTGTGGAGCTATCGCCGGCCACCACCGCAGGAGCCAGGGGGCTGAAAGTTGGAGTGCCTGCTCAGGGCTGGGCTGCGGTGGCTGAGGCAAGCAGTGGGCTCCTTCAAGGAAATGAGGAAATGTCTGTACTTCGAGGCACTGTGAAACAGAGATGCATTTGAAGCAAACCGCTGTTGGGTGGGGTTGGCAACCCCAGCCACCTTTCCAATCTGTCTGCTGGTCTTGAGGTGTGGAGTTTGATTTCAGCATGGACCCTCAGAAGCGCTTAATTCACCGAGTGCCCTCCATGCCCCAGCATAGTCCCTGACACTGGCACGGGTCCTCGTCCTTGTTGGCAGTATCCTGTTCTGAGGTCCAAAAGGCAGAAAGAAGCCAGGGCTCCAGGATAGTGGCCGCTCTAAAGGAGGATGTCTGTGCCCTTGCCCCTGAAGTTCATTGTGAAGAGCTGCAGCCCGCAGAATAAGCACTGGCCTCCTTGGCTCCTCGGTCTCTCTCCCCCTTGCAAGCCTTGCTGTAAGGCTGAGGCGCCTGTCCGCTGGCTGCCTCCGGGAGTTGGCGTTGGTTTCCCGAGGGCTGGGGCGCCAGGACTCCCCGGCGAGGCGCCAGCGCGAGTCGTGGGTGTTTCCCGCGGGCATGCAGGCTCCGCCTGTCTGGCCGGGGGTCCAGTTTAGTTATTGTGAAGCGATCTTTCCTGGGGCCTAAGCAGGGCTTCCGTTTATGTGGGGCAAGAACCCCCTCCCCAGAAGTCGTTGTTCTGCTCCGGAGGCGGCCCCAGCGGCGGCTCGGGGCCCCTTGGCCTTGGCTGGCAGCCGCCGCGGACTGTGTCTGCTCAGCGGTCGGCAGCTCCTTTCCTCCGGCAACGCCCAGCAAGGCCCCGATGATAAAGACCAAGGGATCGCTGGGACCTGGGAGGCTAAGGACCCAGCCCTCCTCCACTGTTCAGAGCAGCGTGGGGTTCTTGGAGGGTGGCCGTGGATCCCTGGGCGCCAAGATCTCAGATTGTGAAGTGGAGGGAAAATGCGTGAAGTGGGAGTCTTTTGTGTCCATTCGGAAAGGGGCTCTTGGCTGCTGGCCTTTTTGCATGCTCCGCAGACCCATTATCTATCACCTTGGCGGTTGCACCTTCACCCCATTTGCTCCTTCCACATCTTTACACCTTGGCGGGATGCTACTCGGTGCAACCCAGAGGGGCACCCTGGGCAGGCAGCTCTTCATTTGTTCCAAGAGTGACACAGCCCAGAGTTGCCTCAGGACTCTAATTCAGAGCAACCCTGGCAGCCCCCAGGTCCTCTCAGGCCCAGGGCCTCCATGCTTCCTCCTGGAGACAGGACAGTGCAGATGCAAGCCACTTTTTGATTGCAAAGGCTAGTGTCTTGCATAGGCTACCTTTTGAATTTTTCTCTGGAAGAAAGTGCCAGGAAGAAAGTAGTCTTGGGCACAAATGTGGTTATTCATTTCCTTTATGGTGCAATATTGATTCATTATTAATGGTAACTGTTCCACCTGATCTAAAGATGATCAAAAACTGCTACTACATTAAATACTATAAGCAAAATAGCACTGTCTTTTGGTTCTGTTTGCATCATCTCCAATTTAAGCTCTCAAAGCACACTTTCCATCCACCTCCATCCAGCTTAGTCTCTTGAATTATTTCTATTTTACTTGATTCCTAATAACAAAAAGTCTCTTTAGAAGTTACATCTCTGGCCCCAAGGAGCCAATCTGAAAGGCAAAATTTGAAATACAAAAACCAGCATTTTGTAGGAATAAATTTCAAAATTATACTTGATAAGCCCCTGTGAGTGAAGATCTGTTTAAAACCTAATCCAATATAGGGTGACTTTGAGCTTGAAGTCACAGGGAGCTGAAATAAAAAGGCCCCCAAATACAGAAGTCAGATCCTGTCTGCCCTGGTTCACTGAAGACCTACCCGCTCCAGAAGGAATTGCTTGTTTTTAGCCTGGATGTTTATTTCATGTATAAATAAAGATTATGAAAGGGCATTTGATGGGCATAAAATTCCTGATTAGATTGAACAGTCTTCTCTCGATGGATGGAGATGATGGGGAAAAGTGGGAACCGAGTTCTAGGCAGCTCTCCTGGCCGAGATGC